CCCCGGTGGTGGCGTTAGGTGCCTCAAGGAAGCGGCCGAAACGCACAAGAGCACCATCCTGGACGTACAGCCGGCCCACGCCAAGTATGAGCCGCCCCGCCCCTCCCCTCCCTTCCCCCAATTTCCGCATGCGCGGGCCGTGGAGGCGGACTAGCCAGGGCGGCCTTCGGGGCCTCGGCCAACGCCGCCTGTCGAGTGCGGAGAGGAGGAGGAGGAGGAGGAGGAAGGAGCGGTGCTTCGCGCTCACTCGCCTCAGTGGTGGTCGCTAATGGCCACTCTTCCGGTTGGTTGAAGGCGCGAGGGCCGAAGGGACGACGATCGCGACCGAGATCGCCCTCGGACGACGGGCTGGGGTGGCGGTGGTGGTGGGTATAGCAGTGGCGGCGGCGGCGGCGGCTACGACGACCGGAGTAGACCGCCGGGCGACGACTACCGCTTTGCTGGAGGAAGGACAGGCGGCCCAGGGCCTTACTCGGTACGCCCACCACTCTGCGACCCCTCTCGGCCCCTCCCGGCCCCCCAATACGATGATGCTGAGGCTTACGACGTGCGTGCGTGCGGGGGCATGTGTGCCCTGTGCGCAGGGGAGCGTCTCGCCGTACGGCGGATATGGCGCGGCCACCCCGTCAGCCTCGACGTTGCCCGCGTATGCGCATACCTCCTCCTACATCCCCCCGCAGCCGTCCCATCAGCCCTACAACAACCCCGCGCAGTCCACTGCAGCTCTTGCCCACCGGGTTCGCGTCCACCCCACCCACCCACCACCCTCCTCGACCTCGTCTCTCTATCGGGTCTCCGCGGTTTACACCACGAACACCCCCCCCCCATCGTCAGGGTGCTAACGGGCAGCGTGTTCGTTCGTTCCTCCTTTGCGGCCGTGACGTGCAGGACGCGAGTCAGGGCGCTGCCGGTGGCGACGTGGGTGCCACGCTGCAGACGTTGCTGAGTCTCGTGCAACTCTTCAACCAGCCGCAGCCTCAGCCGGCGTCGGCAGCTCCGGCCCAGGGGTACGCACCACCGCAGCACGCGCCCCAGGCTACCCAGGCCTCCTACTACCACCTGCAGGCGCTCGCGTCCCCGTATTCCCAGCAGCCGCAGCAGCAGCAGCAGCCGCCCGGCGCCACATCCTACTACCAGCCGCAGCCGACAGGAGCGCCAGCAGCCCTGGCGCAGGGCTACGCCCCCAGCAGCTCTTCGGCTGCTCCCCAGTACCAGCAGCAGCAGCAGCAGCGATACGGCATGTAGAATGAAGAGCGGCAGCAGCGGCAGCAACATGACGAACAAGTAAAACTGGATGGGGGAATGGGGTGTGTATTGGCGCCGTCCGTGTGGCAGGCACACATACATGCGTGGTGCTGCGATGCAACGGTTGTGTGGCGTACCTGACACCCTGCTCCGGCGCCGCCTCGGCCTGCTCCAATCCTCTCGCAATGAGCATGACCACGAGCGCCATGCGCCACGCGCACAAGAAGAAGAGCCAAGAGCCAAGGGCAGCAGTGCGACACCAACCTGGAGGGGAAGCCCTTCCTTACACTCCTCGGACGGCCGCGAGTGAGGCTAGACGGGATCCGATGGACTTGTCGAGGGCCGACACCTGTTCACGTATCGTCGAGTCGTCGTAGCGATACCGGGGCGCCTCAGCTCGCTTCTCCTCCTACAGCACCCACCCCACCCCACCCGGCGTCAGGGATTGGCATGGCCCGCCAGCGCAAAGGCGGCTGGTGGTGGCTGGTGCTTGCAAGAGGAGAGGAGGGAGAGAGGAATGCGGTGGTACCATGGAAACGGCTTCGTCAGCATAAATAAAGTGGATCTTGGGGGTCGCGGCCTGGTCGGCCTCGGCCGCAGCGTCGGCCTGGTAGGCTGGGAAAGCTGCTGCTGCTGCTGCTGCTGCCGGAGCACCGCCAGCCGGGGCCATTCCGCCGCCGCCTCCCATCCCCGGTCCTACGGTCGTGCATCACGCCGCCGTTGGCAGCAGCCACCGCGGGCACGCACACACCGGGCCAACGTGGCACCACCACGAGGAGCAACGCCACGCATGCACGCACGCACGCACGCACATAGGTATAGCGGGTTGTTGGTGAGGGTACGGTACCGTGAGGGCACGCCGCGCGCTGGGAAATTGCACCCCCCCCCATTAACGCTGAGCACGCGTCCCGATGCAAAATTTGGTTGTGTGCGTTACGGACAACATTGCGCACATGGGCGGAGCAGAGCGACAACGCGGACACACGCGCGCGCGCGAAAGAAAAAGGGAGGAAGTAGGGCGCGCTGGT